CCCCCCCCAGGACCCACCTCCTCATCAGTCTTCTGTTTCTTGGCCACCACTCCCGTTTTCAGGGCCAGTTTGTTGCCCCCCCTCCGCCGCCCCACCTAAGGGGGGACACACACACCTCCCCCGTCACCGGAACCCCCCGAAACCGGGGGGGGGGACTCAGGGACCCCCGAGGGGGGCGGCCCGGACCCGGGGGGGAGGGGAAACGGGGATCAAACCTGCCCTGAAACCCCCAAAAACGGGGTGGAAAAGGGACCGCAAGGGGGGGGGGAACCGGGACCGAGGAGGGCACCGGGGAGACACCGAGGAGCCTCCGCCAGCGGCCCCCGGTGCCGAGCGCCTCCCGAGAACCCCCCGCGATCTCCCCGCTGCCGGTTTCCCCGGCGCCGTTACTCCCCGCGGCCCCTCCTCCTTACAAAGCCGAGCGCTCCGCCGCTCCTCTTCGCCCCGTCCCCCCCTCGCTGCGCGCCGGGCCCGCCGCTCCCGGTGGTGCCGCCGCCATCGCCGGCCGCCGCCGCCGCCGCCTCGCGCTCGCGCTGCTGCTGCTCCTCCGCCTCCATCTTGCGCTTGAAGAGCTCCAGGAAGCTGCCGTCGTTGGCGAACACGTTGACGCCGCCGCCGGGGCCCGGCGGGGGCGGCGAAGGGGTCTCGGGGCCCTCCGAGGCCTCGGGGCCCTCCCGGTCCTCGCCGCGCGCCGCCATCTTGTCTCCCCCCCTCCGCCGCCGCCGGCGCGCCGCGGTGACGTCGGCGCGACCCGGCGCGCGGTGATGGCGTCGCGTTGCCCGGCAACGCGCGGAGCGCCGGGCGCCGCGCCCCGCCTTCCGCGCGGGATTGACGGGCGAGGCGGCCAATGGGGAGGGGAGGGAGAGTGGGCGGGGCGTGGCGGTGGCCAATCAGCGCGCGGAGGGCGGTGGCGCGGGGAAGATGGCGGCGGCGGCGGCGGGAGGAGGAGGAGGAGGAGGAGGGTGGGCGGCCGAGGGGCCCGAGGAGTTCGAGGACGCGCCCGACGTGGAGCCGCTGGAGCCGACCCTGGCGAACATCATCGAGCAGCGCAGCCTTAAGTGGATCTTTGTGGGCGGGAAGGGCGGAGTGGGGAAGACGACGTGCAGGTGACGGGGGAGGACGGGAACCGGGGAGGGGGGGGGAACGGGATGGGGTGGGATGGGGGGGATCGGGATGGACCGGGGGAGATCGTGCCCGGGGAGCGTCAGGGGAAGCGGGATGGGACAGCACCGGACAGCCCGCGGCGGGATCGGGGGATGGGGTGGAGGTTAGGACAAACTGGGGAGGACTGGACAGACTGGGGGGATTGCGGTGGACTGAGGGGATTGGGATGGGATGGGATGGGATGGGATGGGATGGGATGGGATGGGATAGGGGGAACAGGGTGGGATGGAGAGTCAGGATGGACTGGGGGGATTGGGATGGGATGGGGGAAACAGGGTGGGATGGGGAGTCAGGCAGAGTTGGGGGGATCAGGATGGACTGGGGGGATTGGGGTGGGATGGGATGGGGGGAACGGGACATTCCGGGGGAAACAGGACCCAGGGAGGGTCTTGGGAATTGGGACAGGGGAGGGGGGGGTGGGATCAGAAGGGAGGGAATGGGGATGGTGGGGACCAGGATCTGGGAGAACGGGATGAGATGGAGGTGATCAGGATGGACTGGGGGGATTGGGATGGGATGGGGGGAGCAGGGTGCGATGGGGAGTCAGGCAGAGTTGGGGGGATCGGGATGGACTGGGGAGATTGGGATGGGATAGGATGGGATGGGATGGGATGGGATGGGGGGAGCAGGGTGGGATGGGGAGTCAGGCAGACTTGGGAGGATCAGGATGGACTGGGGGCATTGGAATGGGAAAGGGGGAACGGGGTGGAATGGGGAGTCAGGCAGACTTGGCGTAATCAGGATGGATTGGGGAGATTGGGATGGGATGGGGGGAACAGGGTGGGATGGGGGGTCAGGCAGAGTTGGGGTGATCAGGATGGACTGGGGGGATTGGGATGGGATGGGATGGGATGGAGAGTCAGGCAAACTTGGGGGGATCAGGATGGGATGGGATGGGATGG